TTCATTTTTTTTCTAAATAGAATTAAGTGATACGGATGTAAATGGTCTGCGGACGGCAGGTCGCAAGCGGGCCCCGGCCCAGCCCGCTACGGACGTGAGATATTGGTATTTAAAAATTAGTATTTACTTACAGTTTTAGTTTAATGACAAAACAATGTGTATATTTTATGAGAAAGTGAAAGTTCTTAAATAAAACTATTGTTTTCGGATTAATTACTTGTATGTGTTTTATTTTTGTCTTATCCTGCACGTTATTGAAGTTACAGTCAAGTAGTATTTCTTGAGAAGTTTCTATATAACAGATGTAAAATCTACATTTAAAGGCACCCGGAGTTGACTATAAAATAAGTGTAGTAAAGAGATTTAAGAAAAATATAGGAAGCATAGTTGACATTTCATTTGAGGTCTTTTTTACATGATCTATATTAACTCTACCTATTGATAGGTCCTCAAAACCACATATCAATATAATTAACTTGATTTAAAAATAATTGCCAAAAGCCAAAAGTCACTAACTCGTGTTCAGGGCCTACCCAACACTGGTTGATAGAGGCTCGTATTTAAAATGACGTCACTGTCAGATAAGGAACCTATATATCCACACATTTATACACGGATTGTTATTAGACAATTTATAATAGACAATATAATAGTTTTTAAGTATTCTTTATTAGTAAAAAAACCATGTAAAATTTTTTTTATTTATGTGATTTAGTAGCCGAATTAAAAAGTGAAATTTTTAAATGTATACTCCCTATTAGGTGAAACAGTACCGTAATGTTTTGTTTTTTTACAAAAGATGGAACTTGTAATTTTGTAAAATGTTTCATAACATGTCAATACAAGGACTAAACTTGACAGCTAACCTTACAAAAGAAGTTTAATTCCTTAACTGAAACACAACGACAATGAAAAATGAACATTGGTATATTTTTTCGCTACAAATATCACATGATTCCAAGTGATTAAAAAATATTTACAAGTCATTTAATTTATGTAATATACATTACAATACAACTACATTGCTTTACTCTCCTCTACACGTAAATTTGTATTTGCAGCGAGTCCTGCATGTTCAGAGCCTCTAACATATTTGAATATGCGTATAACTAGGTAGATATCTCTTGTAATGTGGGTGTAGTAGGATGCAACGGAGTTGGTACTTTCATTCTCCTCGCCTCGTCCGCGTCTAGAGCTCGCTTCATTTCGTAATATTTCTGTTTGAAGGAATGTAAATCTCCATTCGTTCTATCTAATTCACGTCTAAGATCCGTCACTTGGTTCTCACGCATCGCTAACTCTGTAAAAATAGATATACTTGTCATAAGTTTCTTATTACTACGAAATACAATAAAGATCCATTCCAAAAAAAAATGTGATATTCATAAAGCCATCATACACAAGTAATCTATACTTCTATATCTATACTAATATTATACAGAGGAAAGATTAGTATTTTTGTACGTTTTAAAAAACATATATGTACTTGCCAGCTTTAAAAAATTCGCCATCAAAAAGCTACGTTCTAAGTGTTTTTTTTATTTCACAAGAAAGAAGTCGCGACCAACATCTACTTACATGTACAATATGTATTTTAACATATAAAATAACGAATCCAATGAAGTAAGTACGTATAATATTTGTATTCATAAAATAAACTCACCAGCTATGAGACATTTCATCTTCGTGGTGCGCTGCGCGAGCGCGCGCTGAGTCCGATTCAGTGTTTGCTGTAAAATAATTTATACAGTTGAGGACATTTATTTCCTACCCATTTCATTTATATGACACGTATAATGCATTTATAGTCAAGATCATAGATCTGGCACGATGAGAGTGAAACTGTTAGTTTTGTCAGAAAATATATTAAAACTTGGTCATCAAGAAACGGAAGGAAGTAATGACACTTTTTTGACATTGACAAGATAAAGCTAGTGATGTCATAATTTAATTTAACCAGATATCCTTGTCGGTCTGTAGTTCAAATTTATAATTAAGAGCATGTGCACACCTTTGACTAAACTATCGCACAACTGTTAAGTCGCGTTTTGATTTTTATGAAAGCTCGATTATAGCTTCACAATTTTTAGTCGAGCAACTAAACAGTTGGATTGGCTGCGAAACAATCGACAATCGCACAACAGTAGCAATAGTTTAGTCAAAAGTGTGCTGTACAATTTGATCCTAAGGTGAAATAACCTGTATCTCTGGGCTCGGCTGCAGCGCCAGCATGTCCTTCACTGCGCCGTACAGGTTCCTGGTCTCCTTCAGCTCGCGGTCCTTCAGCACCAGCTGCTCGCTCTGCGCCAGCACCTTCCTGGCAACACACAATAGTACACATTGCTTAAACATGTTGCAATAACTGCAAAAAAATTCAAGCAAGTAAATTGGCAAAATTCCTTTTTTAAACATGTTTCGCACACACTCTTATGAGTGTCCATTAAACTAATCATACTAATATTATAAATGCGAAAGTATAGGTGGTTGGATGGATGTATGTTAGAGTTTGTAGCCTTAACGGCTGGACGAATCTGGATAAAATTTGGCATAGATGAAGTACACATAGACTACTTACTTTTTTTTTAATTTCACGCGGGTAAAGTCGCTGGCTGAAGCTATTCAAAACAAGATATGAAAAGTCTTTGACAAAAGTATTATAGCACAAAACAGTTATAAAGTTTGTTTCAAAACTGGTAATGTTTCTTTAATTACGAATGAAGGAAAATTTATTCTTTCATAGGATGAGCATAATCATTGTCTTTGACAGAAAAAATATAAAAACTTCGTGAGAGAGTTCAAAATCACGCGATCTGTCATTATCAAACCAACCTAATTCAAACAAATCTGTAACCATTAAAGTTAATTACATTAAAAACAGGTTCTGCAAACTGTTTATTACAAAGAATTTTTTAATCTTAATTCAAGTTAATAGAAAAAAACTCGCACGTAAACTGAATTTGAATTAAATCCATAGAAACGTTACTGTGAATTATGCATACAATCGTTATTCAAAACAATATATCTCTCGACCGCTGCCCATAGACATCCGCAATTGCAGATGTGTTGCCTACCCTTAGTCGACGGAGGAGACGAACATAAAGAGAATGTTTCCCCTTCCTATGCGTCTCCACCGTCGAATCCACTTTTCCTTCCCATCCTTAAGAAATCGATGGAAAGGGAAAGGGACATAAATCTATACTATTATAATAAAGCGTAAACACACACTTTTTTGTTGCCTAAGATGTCAGCAATTACAGTATATTTTTAAATAATCCTTTTTTTGATAAAAAGCCCTACACTTACGACACGCTTCAGGATATATATATATTCACGCCGTTAAACTTATGGGTAAATATTATGGATAAAAAGATTAATGTGGGAAAGAGACCATAAGTTGCTGCCAACATCAAGTAAGAAAGATTGCTAAGGTTTGTCATGTCATGTCAGTTTGACATTTGCTATTGATAATTGGACAAATGTAAACAATAAAATAAAATTTTAATAATTTCCATGCGGATGAAGCCGCACGGGAACAGCTATTATTATATAAAGTTAGTAAGAGTAAGTTGCGTGTGGGCTCGTACTTCTGTGTGAGGCGCAGCTTGTGTGTGAGAGTGACGCTGTCGGGATCGGTGCCCTGCAGTTTGCGCCAGCGGTGCACATTGAGCGGCGTCTCCAGCGCCTCCTCCAGCGCGCGCACGCGCAGCCGCGACCGCCCCAGCTCGCGCTCCAAGTTGAACACCTGCACGAAGTAAACGACAAGCGCGGAGAATGTCCATTTAATATAATAAAACTTATGTCAATTAATGAAATATGGAAAAATACACATAAATAAAAATCTATAAAAAAGAAAAAGTATAACAAAAATAAGGTTAATTTCACTGCCAATAACCTTTATATATGTCCACAGTACTCTAAGACCTGGAATTGCTAATAGGATTATCAACCATAGTCAATCTTAAAAGGGAGACCTTAGAGGGAAGGGAAATACAGAATAGGCATAGTGAACAAAATCGCACCTCTAATCTCAAATCGGTCATATTCTCAATGCCTTTAGATAGTAAATTCTTTTCTTTACGCAATCTCATTATCTCGAGGCGAAGCAGACGGATGTCCTCCACACGCTGTTCGTACTGACGCTCTCCTGAATACAACACATAAATAAAATTGTTTTATGGCCACTGTACACGGACTGTTTTATGCAACCGACGTTGGGTGGCATTTGACATATAAACTATTTGCAAGTCAATTTTAAATAAAGCATCCTTTTGGTGGGGGGCTATACCAGTGACGAATTAAGTCAGCGCGGGGCCTGTAGCTAATTCT